AGATATCTAAAGCCTGAAGAAACTAGGTGAAAGTCAAAATTGGTTTGCCTAAGCTCCTGTGCAGCTGGGTTTATAGGAAAAAATCCACTTTTTTTTTTATATTAATCTTGTACCCAGAGAAAGAGCCAATATATTTTAAAGTATTTTCATTATAGAAGTACACCTATGTTCTATACCACCACAAATAACCCCTTGAAACAGAGGTGAGGTTCTGAGAGTCACAGAGAGAAGTTCTATTGCTAAAGTGAAAAGTAAAGGTGAGAGTGGGAAAGCTTGACATGTACCACGTAATAGAGTAAAATTGTTACCAAAACCAAATTTCCTCAAGACTGCAAAAAAATACCCCCATTCCACTCGATCAAATGCTTTATCGGCATCCAATGAGATTACCACCTCAGGAAGGGTGCTATTATTTTTGGAATATATTATATTAAGAAGGTACCGTATATATATAAAAAGGAGTGTTTTACTTTAATAAAGCCTGTCTGTTCGTCTGATATAATAGAAGGGAGAACTCTTTCCAAACGGGTTGCTAGCAGTTTGAATAAGATTTTAAAGTCTACATTAAGAAGACTTATTGATCGATAGGAGCTACAACAGGTGGGGTCCTTTTTATCTTTATGCAGTAATGAGATAGAAGTGTGTTTTAGTGTCTGAGGGAGAGAGCCTTGTTTCAATAAATCTGCAAAAACTTGAATTTTGGCAGAGTTCATTTTGCTTAGCTTTCTTTGATTTAGATAGGTGAGATGAATAGGAAATAATTTGGCCTCTAAGGTAAGCTTTAAGTGTCTCTCAAAGTAGAGAATTTGAAACACCCTCCGGTCAGTTGTAGTTAAAAAAAATTCTCAATTGCAGACAAGATACAGTAACAGAAAGCTGAATCAGACAAGAGTACAGAATTCAACATCTATGGATGCTGAGGTTTATAGCCAGGGGACAAAGCCATATCCAGGACTAATGGAGCACGATCATGATCATATCATCATGATCATCATGATGATATAACAATTGGAAGATATTCAGAGTTGCAAACTTTAGAAGCCATGGAGCCATTTATAAAAAAAACTAATGGATGTAAGAATATATGAAAATTTGAAAAAATTAATATTTTCTGGCTTGGGGATAACCCCCCCCCCCCAAGGATCAATGTATCCATTTTGGGTCATAAAGGCTACGTCCACACGTACACGGGTATTTTTGAAAACGAAGATTTTCCGTTTTCGTTTTAAAAAATAATCAACACGTAAATGCAGAAATGAAGGAACATGCCAAAGCAACAGGTGGCGATATATTCCTAACTGTGTAGAAATGTTGGCCAATCAGAAGTCTAGAAGCCTCGGTGGGAAATAGTAAACAAGGATGGGGCATAGAAGCAGAACCGAGTCATATGTGTGGAGGGACAGTAACTGTGTGTGTATATATAAGCATTTAAACACTGCAGAGAGTACAATTAACAGTAACAGTATTGTAGAAATTCATTTCACCGAAACAATAACAGTGGCGCACAGTGTGACGTCAAAAAAGGCGCACACCTTTGATGCTGCGTTTTCTGAGTTTTTTCTGTTTTTCTCGTCCACACGTAAATGCAAAAACGGAGTTTTCAAAAATATCCACCCTGGCCGGAGTTTTTAAAAATCTCAGTTTTCAGTGACCAAAAACACCGTTTACGCGTGGACAAAAGGTGCAAACGCATAGAAAAATCTGCGTTTTCAAAAATACCTGGGTACATGTGGACGTAGCCAAAGTATGAGAAAGCCCTGGACATAGCAGATGATGCTCTAGAGCCAGTGACAGATTTCTCAATAGCTGGGTCAATAACACAGTTTTAAATCACCTCCGAAGATCAGGAGGTGTGTATTTAAGTCAGGAATCATCCTCAAAAGATTATTAACTAATTTTACTTTTTTAAATTTTTTTCCAGTGTCCCTGCACTCCCCGTGCTCACTGCTCCTTCTCGTCCCACATTCCTCCTGAGGGAAAACAATAGAGGCAGCCATTACACACTTTATCCCAGCAGGCATACACTCACACTTTCTGACTATGCTAGAAGACTGACGTGAAGTCAAACGCAATAATCCAGCGTCGGTGGAAGCTCCATTGCTCATCTAAATAGCTCCCCCGACGAGCCCAGATGAGGAGCAGATGGGTGGCAAAAAAATTGGAATTAATTTTATGTGACTGTTCATATTAAATCCAACAAAGAGTGAAAATCCAAAACCTGCTGCAATCTTTTGTATTAATGATCTCTCTCTCTCTCTCTCTGCGCGCGTGTGTGTGTGTGTGCCTTAGAAGTCAAAGTATACATTAGCCATGCTTAAAAAAAAACATCTGAACTTCATTTAGAACTGAGATTCTAAGCTGTAAGCAGAAATCTTATGCTCAGCCAGAAGCATGTTTCCCCACTTTCACAATGGTAAGGTGTCAAATCCACAACCCCCAACAGATGGTTTGTCACACGCTCGGTTCAAACACTCAAAAAGCAGCACAACAGCAGGTTCAAGAAGGGCAAGTCCCCCTTTATTTGCACAGCCTCACACACCATAGATTTTTAAAGTTGTGGTGCACAGTGGTTTAGGAACAGATGTAACTTCTACTTTTGATAAAGACCACTCCACCTGCATATTTCTTAAGAAATGAAGCATCTTTATTAAGCTCTTATTTTTTAAATGTCTACACAATAATAGACACCGTGTGCTCTGTGACATTATAGTCTTCTACTTCTGCTTCGATTGGTTTGCATTTTAAACTTCCAGCCTTACAGGTTGTTATGAACGGCTTTTATTTCTAACATTTTGTGATGTAAAAACGAACAACGCAGCTTTTTTATTTTCACTTAAGACATGTGTTATTAAAACAATTCTAAATGACAGTGTGATGGCCATAGTACTTTATAAGGGGGTCAAATATGTTAAGGATAATGTTTATCAATGTAAAATTGCAAAGAACTTTTGAATAGGATACAACATCTTGTAAACAGTTACCTCAGAACCTGTACTGTCAGATGTATGTATGTAAGGTAAAACTTTCCACAGTCCTTCCACTTAAGTAACTAAACACATAAAGTCACCCTTACCAATAATCGACTGCTCTTTGAAAAAGTAGCACAAACAGACAACTGGATCAGCAATGATAAGTAGAGCTACCCGAGGCCGATACATAAGCAGAAGAAAATTAAAAGTTGTTGTTTTTGTGGCTCATAAATTAAAGGGAAATATGTTTAATAATTCAATGAGAGCCGCACCTTCAACACACGTACATTCAAATTTTGGAACAGACTAACATTGCTGTTGTTCAATAGTTTTTATCCACTCTCAAAAGTCATTTTATGGCTTTAATATTTCCAGCTGATAAGGAGACTTACGCCATTTCAAATGCGCGTCCAAAGGCTTTAAACATCTGCTTTGTCTGTAACAATAGTTTGAAACTACAGAGCATTGTTTTTACTAAAATTCAACATTTTCAGATGAAAATTTCGCTGCTTTGTTTTTACTGTAACACCTCCGTCAATGCCATGTTTAGGATATTCTTGGAGATTACATTTTTCATATTTATGCTTTTGGCACTGAGGGTATCTAATACGCACATTGTCACTGTTTTTTGTACTACCAGCTGTGAGGGCTCTGCTTTCACTTTGAGCAGTCTGTTTTTATTTTGTCTCGTGAGTGTGTGTTTTTCAAACGAGATCCTCGTCAGTTTGATTTTGTTACCACAAACGTTGTGTAAAGTTCACAACAGAGGTAAAGAGATTTAAACACACCAGTTTAAGGAGACAGGCAGGCAGGCAGGGGTTGGAACAGCTGCACATGACAGGTGAAGAAGAGAGTATCAGGGGAGATGTGCAACAGAAGCAGAGAGAACTTATCACAAGAGGATAAATGGCAGCTTTGTTGACAAGATTAAAAGACACGTCCATCAGAGTTCAGCAACATTGTAGTTTGATTAAATAAAAAGTTTTTAAACTACACAAGGTTTATTTTCTCCTCTGATAGTAAGCATATTTAACATATCAGTGATGGAGGAAAGAAAGACTATAAAGAAAAATAGTAAATGTGTGTCTAATTAAACTGTTCCTGTGAACGTTAAATAATCCTTAAATATGTTCAGTGTTACAAACTTGAAGAAGCACAGAAAAGATCATCAGATATTAATCTAATCAGTTTTCAGCCTTCATTCATATTGAAATGCTGAAATCTTCCCTGCTAGACCGAAGTGCAGCGTTTGATACCATTGGCCATAACATTTTATTACTGCTATTATTAAAAGAGTCCTCTTCACCCACACTGAGGTTAATTATGAAGCTCCACAGGCTGCAAAGACCAGTTCTGTTTACATTATACATGCTTTAGAAGCCATAGCATACATTTTCACTGCTATGCGGATTATACCCACTTTTATTGGTTAAACTGAGGTTATTGTAACGGGGTGTAAAACTCTTAGAAACACTGTGGCTAACAAGATCCTTACTCTGGACGGCATCGCCTTGAGCCATCTGTTGTAGTGATTTGGCAAATTATAAGTAAAATTAAGGCACACAACCCCATCGCACAACATCAACATTTATTTATATACAAAATAAAAATGCTTTTTTATGGAAAAGAATTGTAACTTCACATTTCATCACCAATTAGTTGGGTACGGGGTAAGGCCTCATCCTTATGCCGTAGTTATTTGGGTAATTTCTCAGGACCTTGGAAGAGTGTTAACTATACTAACTACAAAACACCTCCTGTTCTATAATCTGTGCTAAAGGATGAAAAACCAAAAATTACATCTGTAATGCAAATAGTCTAAACTAGGGAGTGGTCGCTGTGACTTATGTTAAAAAACAAATAATAATCACTTTTCCAAGTAAAATATAAAAAGAGATCTTGTTTTCAAGTTTTCACTCATGCATCCTCAGCTTTAAAACACACAGCAAAGTCTAATGTGTGTCCACATCGTTGCAGTTAAACTACATTTGTGTTGCACCTCTAAATAATAAAGACTCCTTTTTGAACATCTTTTTATTTACATATTTTTAATTCAATAAAACCACAAAATTTTTAACTGACATAAAATGATATGAAATATATAAAATGTAATAATGCTCTTATTTAATTTATCCCTCAGAAAAGTAACTCTGATTATTTTACATGATCTTGTTTTTTAAAAGCATCTGTTCTTCTCCAGTGTTGCTGATGAGGTCGATCTTCACGTCGTCTCCAACGTTCCAGTTGACCATGTTCATCCACAGCAGGTCAGCATCAGTTTTAATTGGCTTAGAGACAGCATCTTGCCGTAGCTGTAAATGTAACCAATAAAAAGGTCACAGATGTCCAAGTTAAAAGTAACAAAAGAGAGACTGAAAGAGAAAATCTAGTAACACAGAGACTCACAAGGAGTGTCTCTCCAGCTTTCAGTATAAAGTTTTCTTTAAATTCGTATGTGGCACTTTCTCTGTTGTTGATCTGTAGTTTTAACTTCCAACCTGACAAAAGTTTATTCTGTAAAAGGAAAACAAGAGAATAAAAAAGGGGGAAAATGAATGAGGCAATAATAAAGTTCAGTGTGTGTTAAATCCAAAGTGTTTATAAATGAGTGTGTTACGTCCACATAAGTGAAAAGGACCTTTTTAAAATATTTCTGAATACATGGAACATGTGGTTTGTGTTTAGGTAGTACTCATTGTTCATCAGCATGCAAGCAGCAGTACCTCACTGGAAGTGTTTTTCAGAAAGATATAGTTGCCATTTTTCTCGACCTCGACCACAGTGATGTCACCTGTCTTTGAGCTGTGATTGGCTGAGCCGCTCTTATTCTGTTCCTCAAAACTGGTCTGAGATTTCTCAGGAGGTGGTTTGCTTGTGTCTGGCTGAGAGAGACACAACATAAGCAGATTAGTGTGTGCGAGAGGGAGAGATGGACAAGATATTTGAGCCTATGAGAAACAGTGTTTGATTCGATCTCCAGTTTTTATTTGCAGTCCAGTTTCTCAAGAAGACGACACGACATTGGGTCGTGTCGTCTTCCTGTTTTTTCTTTAGATAACAGACAGTAGAGTCTTTGTCTGTGTTAAAATACATGTAAATGTGCTGCATGTTTGTTTGTTTAGTGGTTGAGGACAGAGCGAGGTCCCAGTAAATAATGTGTTTGTCTGAAGTGTTCAAAACAACAGTCTGTGTGTTTACTTCTTTCTTCATGTTGCTGATCTCTGCATCTTTTTTCTCCAGTTGTCGATGTTCCTCCTTCAGCTTCTCCTCAGCTGCATGTTGGTTTTTCTCACACTAACAGACAAACAGATCAACACAACGGTTTAGCCTTAACTTTACTATGGGTGTGGTCGAACAGTGAGTGCTGCTGTCATTAGGAACATGAATGTTTCCAGCTGTAGCACATTGTGTCTTGTTTGGCAGTGTGTTTGTTCATCACTCATTTCATTGGATAATAAATCTGCTTTCGTGTTGCAGGAATTGCCGTCTTGTGTGTGACTGGGTGCAGTAAGGAGTGTATGTGATGTGTGTGTGAGCATGCGCGTGAAGGAAACGCGGGGAGCGAAAGAGGAAAAAGAGAGAGAGAGTGTGTCATGGGTAGAGAGGGCGACCGGGAGCAGCGTTCTAACGGGCTACAGGCTATGCAGTGTGTTTCGAAGTGTGCAGTACTGTTATTAAAGCCTCATCTCTTCAGTACTCTCCGGTGCCTCGGCTGATTTCTGTCTGCCTCACTACTCCACAAAAGTGAAGGGAGTTAACCCCGAAGGAGGACAAACTTCGGCCCTGGAGGAAGCATCTCCCCTCGTGTCTCCCGACCACGGTCAGGGGACTGACGGCGAGGAATGGTTAACAACCGACTGGAGTTTGGATTACTTTCTTTTGAGGACATTTTTGCATTTTTTAAATGTTTTACTCATGCTCATATTTTTGTTTTATTACATCTTAAAGACATTTAAGGTTTCTTCTGAATTTTTTTTTTCTTCTGATAATTTGATATTATTGCATTTCTATTTTCACTGTGAGTGTGCCCATAGGGGGAATGATGTCAATCATTAGGAACATAAATGTTTTCAGTGGTTACTGCAGGCAGCCTTTAATTTAGTTGTAGCATATTATCTGTATTTGTCTTTGGTTTGGTAGTGTGTTTGTTCACTTATTTTGCATGAGTTTAGGTTGCCTGTTTCTTTGAGGTGAAAGCATTACAAAATGAATAGAGGCTTTTTTTTTGGAAATGGGGTCAACTTTGCTCTGACACGGATGAATTGTGTTTCCTTGGTTTATTTCGGCTCACTGAACTCTCCATCCTTCTTCCTCAGATTGTAATTCAGTTTTTCATTGGCCCTCTTAAATATCTCGTCATCTGGATGTTGGTTTTGCTCGAGCTGACAGACAAACATATATCAACACAAATGTGAGACTGAACAAAACTATCTGGACTGTTAAACCATAGCAGTCTGAAAACCACTGAGGCACTTGTGTTTTGTTTCAAATCTCTCTTTCTGAAAAGAGCTCGCACAGAGAATCTGACCTCTAACTGACCCTAAACTAAGGTAACTGTATATGAGAGCAAGAATAAAATATTAAAATCAAACTCTCTCATCTATAAAGTGTCAGTGCTTTTATCAAATGTTCTCTTTAGCTTATGACAAAATTTGCAAACTTTAACAGTTTTCATTTAAGAAATTAACAGTATGAACCCAGGACTGTGTTGTTGCAACTTTGCTAACCACCATCCTGCCTCTATAGCTTAAACAGGTTAATATTATGTAAGGTTTTAATTTAAAAGTGAATACATGTGATTTTAGTTGTATCTTTTGTGGATTTGTGGAAATATGGCTTTTTAGTTACAGAAGAACTCTGGACTCTTCTTCATGAGAAACTGTGGAGATTAAGAGTGATCAGTTGCTGAGTTTTGGGAAGTGCTCCAGACTTAAGAGAAAATATAAAAAGTTCTGTTGTGAGATTCTGCATAACAAACTGCACAATGACACATGACAAAACAAAAGATGTGAATATCAGGACGGCAGAAAAATATCATCTATTCTTATAACAGAAGATGGTAACTATTTCTCTGTCGTGTATAATTGCTCTAAAATATTTATTTCACTGTTAGCTAACCCTGGACATGCTATTCATATATTCTTTTTATTTGTGCCATTTTCATTTTCTCTCTTTTCTTTCCACTCACACTCTTTCTTCCCCATATACATGTAATATCCTGATTATTTTTCAAAATTTTCTGTCTGTTCATTTTCTTGTGTTTCTTTCATATCACTCACTGGAACGATGTCCTGTGACATGAGCTTATCTTGCTCTTGGTCTCTTTCAGTTTTGTCAGTTTCAGGGCGGTTTGCTGTTTCTTGTTCTTTACATGCATCACAGTGAGCTCTCCTGACATCTGTTAAAAGCATAGACAAGATTACAATATGATGTTCTCTTGAGCTAAAATGATAACGCAGCATATAATCCTCTCATTTTAAACTAAATTATGAAGTGCATATATTGTGCCTTATCTCATAACACACAATGATGTTTAGCTGCTTATAAAAAAATACGTGTAATTTACACAAATGTGTCTTTCTGTTGCTTCAAAACCTGTTAGAATAACTTGAGATATTAATTTGGACAGCATGGTGAATCAATTTGTGTCTTACTTGTTTTGTTTTGTCTCCAGATGAAAAAGACTCCAATCAAAATCAAGATGATGCTTACAGCCAAACTAACAGCCAAACCAATAACAATGGGAGCAGCAGAACAGGATGTGAGCTCAAAGAATTCATCTGAAACAATAAACACAGAATTACATGTTATTTCAACAGATTTTGATTTAGGCTGAATTAAGCATATCATACATTTTATAACCGATATTTACCTGGAACATGTTTGTGTGTCTCTCTGCTCTTGCTGATTTGCTTCTGTTGGACTCTGCAGTTGATGTTGTTGCTGTGTCTCTTCTCCACAGTCACTCTGCTGCTGACAGTATAGAGGTCATCAGGACCTCTGAGGGTCTCTGTAGGTCCAGCAGAGAGGAGGTTTCCCTCACCGTCCAACCACAGCAGCTCAGGCTCTGGATACCAGCCTGCAGACTCACACTGTAAAACCACTCCTCCTCTATTTTCGTCAGTTCCCGATAAACTGATGAGAAGTGACCTGGCAGCATGTGATGCTGAGTAAAAAGAAGAGTTTAGAAAAGATCTTAGTGGGTGAAAAAAACACATATTATGGACAGTAATTCCCAATTATTAAATTATTAATATTACAAAATTCTGATGCATTTGGTGTGTTCTTTTTTCTAAAGTTAATCATGAATAATAACATAATGCTAAATTAATAAACATTTCGGTGATAAAATCTTTCCTCAACCTACAGAAATATGAACTTTCACTGGAACTAAATATGAAAATCTCACCATTTGCTCCTCATTGACAGTTCTACCAAAATCCTGTTGGCTGGATTTATGATTTATATCAAACCGTGAACATATGACGTGTATCTACTTACCAACCACAAGCTTAACAAAAGATTTTTTCTCCATTAAAGGAATGCTGCATTCATATGTTCCTCCATCAGATAGTTTTACTCTGGAGAGTTTCAGTGAAATGTTTCCACGCTTCAGTTCATTGATGAACAGTGATGATCTTCCCCTGTATGAAGGATTTCTTGTATTCACCAGATCCTGACCGGATCGCCACACATGGACAAATCTTGGGTTCAAGTCAGATCGTGTCCACTCCAATATCTCAGCTGTCACATCCTCTGCAGGCTCCACGTGACATGGTAAAATAACATCATCATCAACTAATGCAACTACTGGCTGATGTGGACCAACCACCTGAGACTCCGCTGTAGACAGGAGACAAAAGAAAGAAAGACAGAAAGACAGAAAGATGTGTTTATTAATTTCTGCAGCCAGTTTGAATGCATATATATAGTTAAAGATGACACTCAGCATTATTTTTCTTTCTCGTTTTAAAATTTTGATGAAGATAAAAATGTTAAAAACATGTTTCACTAAAGAATTAAATAAACACTTGCAGGCAGGCAGCAAATCATAAAAATCAAACTATTAACTACTGTTTGTACCAAATGTAACATATTTGCACTATTTTGTTTATATGCACTGTAATAAAAAATACTACGCATGTAACATCAAACTTACCTCGATTTAAATGTATTAGAAGATGGAAAATCAAAATACTGAAGACTTTGACTGGAGAAAGGGAGAGTCCATCTATCTGTGGAAGCATCCTTCTCTGAAAATATATCAATGATACATGTGTGGCTGCAAGAGGTCATTAAAATCAACTTATTCAAGACTAAAAACATATTTTACATGTTACATGTTTTAATATGTCAAGTACTGTCATGAGGCCTTCAACATGCACTTAGCACTATAACTTTCTATTAACTCCAGAGTTAAGGCACCAGACATTTAGTTACTGATTAAAGTGAACACATTACTTCACATTAGTGCTAAATTGCAGCCTAGAGAATAACCTTTGGTCAGTGTCATCTTTAGCTTTGAGATGAACTCTGCCTGCTGCTGATTGTTTTGATTGTGTAACGGGCGGCAAAGAAAGCTCAGCTATCAGATAATAAGGTTTCATAGGTACTGTATTGATCCACAAGGGAAATTGGTTTGTTACAGCAGCAGGATAAAGAATAAAAATAGTGCAATATGCAATAAACAACAAATAAATACAAAGCGATCGGATCAAAATCTGTGTTTATAGATTACAAGTTCAGAGTTGGATAACCATATCTGATGTTTGCACATGTTCTCCTTTATTTCAAAAGATATCCATAATAAAAGTATTTTAAAATGTATTATTTATTGTTTCCATCTCATAATTTTCTGCACATGGACAAAAGCTGGTCTCACCATAAAATCCATAAAATAGCCGTTTATGAAAAGTTGGAATCGCACCTGGTAAACTTCAGCCAACAGAGACAGTTTGCTGTGAGTGTAGACTGCAAAGTGACTTTCTAGCTGATGGACTGTGCAGAGCTGTCATAAATCTGTGAAATATAAAACATTTACAATGTTTTCTTTATACAAAGTAGAATATTGTTAAAAAAGAGGAAAAAAATACTTGGAAGAAAGACTCTGCCCAGACCTCTACACTATACTTTCGTATAGTGTAGAGGTCTGGGCAGAGTCTTTCTTTCTTTCTTTTCTGCTTTCATATCAAATATTTTAAACCTTGGTCATTCACTTGTAAAATATTTATTTTTATTTACACAGATTTAATTATGTCAGTGAAATAAATTATACTATAATCAGACTTTATAACGAGACACCAGAAACGCATTTAGAACTTAAAAACAGACAATTTGAAAGAGACTTACTCGTGGAAAGTTGTGTGAGACTACAAGGTGAAGGTGAAAATCATTAACCTTCTGGCCTTAACTTACTTTGGCTTATAAACTCCAGATCCATCATATATGCTCAGAGTTATGGAAAAAATAAATAGGCTCTTAAGATTCAGAGTTCTTGTTAATCAAAGTGTAATGCTGGAAAAATCGATTTAACATCCATTGTTGATTCTGGTTCAGTTGTACGCTGTCTCAAATGGTGACCTTTGAGCCTGTTATAAAATGATGAAACCATATCCGTCTTCGCAGTGTTCAAAAAGAGGGAAGCTTTCACATGGTAAGTGTCATTTCAGCTATCATACTGAAGATGGCAGTACAGGACTGAAGCTTGTATTGAAAAAGGTTTCCTTACGCAAAACTTTTCTAAATAGTCCTCTTTAGTGACATCAGGTGACCAAAAATATTAAGAGCAGCTTGCGTCTACATCTTGAAATAACCTTCTTATTTATGATTGCCCACTCTACAGAGTTGAGTTGCCAGCTTCTGTTTAATACCACGTGACATTTCTGTGAACTATCAGGGTGAAGTTGTGGTGTTTTGAACATGTATTTTATGAAAAAAGCAGAGAAAAATATTTTTGTTTGAGTATTTTATGGCAGATTTTGTGCATGTAGATTTTTGTACACAAAGGTGTAGAAATTGTACAAAATACATCAGCAGGCTATGGATGACATGCAAGAGTAAACGACACACGATTTCAAAAATTTGACTAAAAAGAAAAAAATCCCTATCACAAGCTGTAACACAGCCAAGTCCTGAGTAGGGCATAGGTGTTTTGACGGTGTAGTAAAGAGTAGTCACACCCCTGTGTTTTATCTCTATTTGGCAAATATATTAAAGAAAAGCACAAAGTCTCAGCCAAGGCTGAAGGTGACCAATTGAACACTCACCAGGAACACAGATCAGCTTAGACTATGACCTTTTACTTTGAAATGAACCTGCTCCATAGCAGTGTAACTTAGGCACATAACTAAAACTGAAAGCTCAGAGTTTCTTTAACCCTTTAAGACCTACCATAGAACCAAGTCCGCCAGAGCTTATATTATATTTTTACATGCTGTGGAGCCATTTTTGGGAGCATTTCAAGTTGCTATACATCAATACAACCATTATAGCCCAGATTTTAATAATATGTATTCATTAAGTGCATAGTAATTACATACATTGCAAAAAAGTGCAATAA